GGGGGGGGGGGGGGGGGGGGGGTGACGCAGATGAAACCGAGAGGGAGGGGGGCTTCTTGGTGCGCGAAAGGGTGTTGCCACTCTTCTTGTCGCATAAATAAAAACCAAACAACGCGTGGGAAAAAGCGTCGTGGTTGGATGCTCGGTCACCGCGAAGCGGTGTGCTACGAACAAGCAACAGCAGCAGCCGTAACATGCTATGCGCCGTGTCGCGGCGGACGCTAACCCCGCCCCCCGCCCCTTGAAAAAAAAACACACACACGGGTCACACAAAGAACCCGGACGACGCTCTTCCCGTGCCTGGCCTTCCAGTCCGTGACCCAAACTGGTCACCACTCCTTGTACATGCTATCACGCGCTCAACCGCCGACACAACCGAACGAAGCGCTCCTGCTGCTGCTGCTGCGCGGACGCTCTAAGCAGCACCACCCTCCTCCTCTGCCGGGTGGACGCACCCTTTCAGTCCCCTGGTTCCGCTAGCCTCCTTGACGAAGTGCGGCAGCAGGTCGATGTCGTAGTCCGGTTCCGTGGGAAGCATCACGCGGGTGCCCAGGATGTTGAGCACCATGTGTTGCCGGCTAGGGGCGGGCTGCGGCCAGCCCTTCACCTCCACCTGAGCGAGCGGGTTTGCGCAAATTTTGTGAAATGGGCGGGGCGGCCTCGTTACGGCGTTGGCCGCACAAAGGACGGGGCTTTTGGACTTGCAAAGTGCAGGCGGGACATACGAATACCAGCCGATGCACAATGTGCGAAAAATACGAGAGGAGAAGTACCGTGTTGTGCCTCGCGCCGGTGCAGTTAGTTGTTCTCACGGCATGTTTCTGAAACAACAACAACAACAAACAGTAACGATAACGACCAACAACGGCGACGAAAACAACAACACCCACACGAACGGCTTTCCCGACGCCCCGGCAAACAACCGCCCATATCTCCTGTCGAGTGGCAATCGAGCTTTGAAAAATCGGTAGTCCAGGGGTGTGTGGTACCTTACATCATCTGCTGAGTTGAAATCGAGCTTTGAAAAATCGGTGGTCCATCTCACGTAATGTAACCGACGACGGTTTGCATCAAGCGAACGACACACCCTTGAGAAGCGCCGAAAAGGACGCAGAGCATATTCCCTGGTCTAGTATTCCATCATGGACTGCTGGCTCATTTCGCCGGGAGCCAGTCTGACCGATACACATCGAAAAAAACATGACCGGATCAGATGCATACCTCCTCGCAGGCGACTTCCCAGCAGCGGTCGACGAGGGCCTTGAAGGTTGGGGTCTCGTTGATGTTGATCGCCGGCAGGCGGTGGCAGTGGGCCGGCAGGCTGCTCCATTTCCAACCCCTAGGAATCACCACCTGCAGCCTGCACTCGTTATCGTAGACGTCCCCGCTCACGGGGTGTGCCTGCCGCGCCGTTGCGGGTACCCATAGTATTGTTGTCGTTGGTTGTGTGTGGCAAACCGCGGTTTTTCGAAAAAGGGTGGGGAGAGGGGGAAAAAACGCCTGGGTTGCAAAACTCTGCCATGCCCCTGGACAGCAAAAGCAGAGAGACCGCGTAGAGCGGGCCTAGTTATCTCACAAAACCTACACCGCATACAACATACCATTGATCGAGCTATTGCATCGCTCGGTTGGCGCGGTAAAGAAAAAAATAAAATATCCGAGCACCTTCGCTCTCTTGTTTTTAGTGTACCGAAGGGTGTGTATCGGCCGACGTCCAGAACAAACGGCATAAAAAAAAAAGTGTGTAGACAAAGAGAGAGAGAGAACACTACCGGAACACAGCAGGACATAAAACCAAACACAGCACTAGTTTCTCCCGAACCCACTAACCTCCGGGCTCAGCCCCCCCCCCTCCCCCCCCGCTCACCCGCAACACGGGGCCCCCGTTGAAACTAGTCGACGAGGACGACGCGCTGTCATCTAATCCCCTCCGGGTCTTGTTGAACAGCGTGGGGGCGGTGGGGGCATTGCTCGATCCAGAAGACGACTGGGTCATCCCGCTGACGTTCATTTGGCTGTGGCCGCTGCGGCTGACCCCGTGCCCGGACGCGAGCCCCGAGCTCTGTGATTGGTCGCCGTCAAGTCGGGCACACGCACGCACACATAATAGTATGCATGGAACATTAACTACACACGAAACTCTTTTATTCACGTGTTTCGTCCCGCTAAGACTGGCGTATTATTCAAGAAGCAACACAGCAGGTCACGGGGGCGTCATCGCAAACCACACGCGCGGCCGTGTCACGCGGGAGAGAAGACAGCGCGCGCGGGCGCGGGGCGTACACAGCCGCTGTGACGAGAAAATTGAAGCGAGATCGACACCGCTGTGTGGTACACAATGCCGCGAACGAGAAAAACTACACCGAACGCGTTTACTGCTTCACGCGAGCGCGGTCTTACATACATATACATAGCCCACCACCTAAGGCCTCGCTCCGCAAGCCAAGGGTCTCCACTCTTCGCATTTTGACAACTTCGACTCCCACCCCACCCCACACACCGAAAAAGGTAGGTATGCACATTTTCCCTTACTTCCCCCCCACGGAGGAAACCAAGCCGCCCGCTTTGGAGGGTTGTTTGTTCTCAGAATAAAAGGCTCTGTTGAGGTACCGCTGTGGCCGGTAATACTGCAACGTGCGCAGGACGAACTGGCAGATTCTCACCCCAGACCCGATCCGGCGCCGAACTGTCGCTCACGGTATGTACATGTTGGTAAGCCGGAACATTTACGCCGAACGAACATGCAGGCTCCACCAATGTCGTGCTTACGCTCGTCTGCTCGTTGTGGTACATACCGGACAGATACTACACCTAAAAAAAAAAAAAAAAAATGGACAGGCACGCCACAGGCGGCTCTCTCAACCTCTCACCACGGACCCTGCGCCGAACTGCTGCTTGTGGTATCTGCTGTACCTCGGGAGCGAGCAAGAACCCGAAGCTCCCAAGTCGGACTGCGGGATTCCCGCGGACGCCGGCAGCGGCACCATCCCGTTCTGCGAGACGGACAGCCGGCGGGAGGACCGTCTTCTCCGGCCTACCCGGTTCGGCGGCAAGATCTCGTCGTCGTCGATGGGGAGTCCGGGCGGGCCGAGGCGGAAGGTTCCGGGCTGTACCCTGCGGCGAAACACACATTGCGTACGTGTGGATGGGGGTCGATGTTAACAACAGCAAAAGAGGTGAATATTACCGTCGCACGCATCGACCGCGCCAACGAATGTAGCGATAAATATGATAAAAGTAATAACAATAAATCGAGCCGGTTATTCTTCCTTCCATTCACTGTGAAAACCTCAACACATCCCCTCCGACTGTGGTTACATCTCGAACGGGTACACAGCAGTCTTTCTGCGTTGTTACGTACATTTTCTGAAAATCATGACAATAGTATCAGAGGTGAATATTCGCATCGACCGTGCCAACTATGTAGCCATGACAGAGTGCGTTAACGTGAACAACGACGAAGACTGCAAAAATCGTCGGCGACTCCACGAACGACGTCTCTTAAGCAGCAGCGGCGAACTTGAGGTATCAGCTACCGCCGTTGGCAGATAATGTTTTTGCCAGGCACACACACAACCGACGGACTGCTTTGCCAAACTGAGCACACCGTGTACGCTAACTAAACACAAGCCGCACTTTGGGGCAGCTGTCGCCGGCCCGTCCTTGCAAATGCCTTCGCCGCCGTTCGACCCCCCCTCACACCGCTGCTGCTCCACCTTCATCTCGTCCGGAGCACTCTCTGCGGGTTGGCCCCCCTCGGTGATCGGCTGCTTCGACTCAGCAAACCCGTCTGGCCACTGCTTCCGGCCGCTACTGCCGTTACCGTCGCCGCCGCCGCCGCCGCCGCTCCCGTCCGGATCTGCGCCCCAGCCCTGAGTCGGGCGCGGCAT